CTGAGTATGAGCTCTTCAGAATGAAGGGCGGTGAATCTATTCAAGACATGCATACAAGATTCACTTCCATCATAAATGAGCTACACTCGCTTGGTGAAATTATTCCTAGGAACAAGCTCGTGAAGAAAATTCTCAGTGTTTTGCCCAGTTCATGGGAGAGTAAAGTGAATGCCATTACTGAAGTAAAGGATTTGCAGGCGATTACCATAGATGAGCTAATTGGAAATCTAAATACCTACAAAATAAAGAAGAAGAAGAAGAAGAAGAAGAAGAAGAAGAAGAAGAAGAAGAAGGATAGTGAAAGAAGAGAACCAAAGAAGGAAAAGAACCTGGTACTCAAGGCTGAAAGCAATGACTTAAGTGAGGAGGACAGTGACATGGCTTACTTAACCAGAAGGTTTCAGAAAATGGTCCGAAGAAATAGAGGTATACCAAAGAGAGGCAATTCCAGCAAACCAAAGAATTATGACCTCTGTCATAAATGTGGAAAGCCAGGGGATTTTATCAAGGATTGCCCTCTCCTAAAGCAAGAACATTTCAAACACAACTCTGATAAAGCAGCCAAGAGGAACCCGGTTCCTAACAGACGCTTCAAAAGAAAGAACGCTGCTGACAATGTTGTGAAGCAAGCTCTTGCAGCATAGAGAGATTCCTCCAGTGAGTCCGAAGAAGAAAATGATGCAGGTGATAGCTCTATGATGGCAGTTGAAAGTGAAGCCAATGAATATGATTCAATATTCACTTTGATGGCTCAGTCAGACAATGATGAGGATGATGACAATGATGAGGTAAATTTTAGGGATGTTCAGAGAAATCTGAAATCCTACTCTCTTAAGAAACTCATGCCATTAGCAAATGTGTTAATTGATGCCTATCATAGTCTTGTAGATGATAAGGACACTTTAACCATAGAGTTAGGAGATGCTGAACAAACTAGAGATGACCTGGTAGTCTGTGTGGTTGATTTGAAGGAAACCATAGATAATCTGGAAAATGAAAAGGATGTTCTAACTAAGAAAATTGCTAGTGTAGAACATGAAAGAGACGATCTGATGGTAGTAGTTGTTGACTGAAAAGAAACCATTGAAAATTTCAATAAAGAAAAGAATGACTTAGTGGAGAAAGCTGATGCATTGGAGCAACAAAGAGATGACCTCTTAGTTGTAATTATAGACTTGAGGGAAATAATAGAGGAACTCAAAGCAGAATGTAGGCCTGGAAATTCTGAGAAAGGAAAAGAAGTTGCTAGCGAGGCACATATTAGGCTTGAAAACGAGTTAAATGCTGTAAAAACCAGTTTATGTGCTGAACTTGAGAAAAATAGACAACTTCAAGCAGAATTGGAAAGAGTAAAAAATGATCTTGAGAAGTCTCTTAAGTGGACCTCGTCCTCGGTTGCTATTACTGCCATGTACGTCAATAATGGTGGAAACAGGCAGGGAATAAGGTTTCAAATATGTTACTGTACCTGATAATTGGCTCTGTATCCACTGTGGGAACAATGGGCATTTCAAAGAAAATTGCCAAGCCAGAGTTCAGTCTCTTCAGAAAAACAAAGTTTTTGCTGAAAGAGTAACTGTTGAAAGAGGACCAGGTGCCACCCATAAAAAATGCATATTACCTACATGGACTAGAAGAGCACTTATTCATCCTCTTATCTATTACAAGGGACCCAAACTTGCTTGGGTTACTAAATCTAACCCTTGATTTCCTTGTGTAGGGAATAGTGAAAGTAAGCAGTCAACAATGGTTCATGGACAGTGGATGCTCAAAGCACAAGACTGGGAATACCATGGACTTTCTTTCACTAAAAGCCCTGCACGGAGGGAGTGTATCCTTTGGCAATGGGAAAAAAGGGTACATTCTTGGAGTTGGAAAGATTGGGAAACCACTCACTCACTCTATTGAGAATGTGTACTATGTAAATGGTCTCAAGTACAGTCTCTTGATTGTTTCTGAAATATGTGATAAAGGAAACAAAGTGGAATTCTTGTCAAAAATATGCACAGTTATGAATCTAGTAACTAGCGAAGTGGTACTTGTGGCCAAAAGATACAAGAATATCTACGTTGCCGATTTTGAGTCCCTACAAAGTGGTGATCTGAGTTGCTTGAAAGCAGTTGACGATGATGCTGAGCTGTGGCATAGAAGACTGGGACATGCAAGCTTCTCTCTACTAAATAAACTGGTTCAGACCTGGTTCGTGGTCTGACCAAGTCAAAGTTCAAAGAGCACAAGGTTTGTGATGCCTGCGCTAGAGGGAAGCGTGTGAAATCCTCATTCAAGCCAAAGAAGGATGTCAGCACCTCAAAACCACTTGATCTCCTTCATATGGATCTATGTGGTCCTATGAGAGTGCAAAGCATGGGAGGAAAAAGATACATTTTTGTGATAGTGGATGACTATTCCAGATTCACTTGGACCCTGTTCCTTAGAACAAAAGATGAAACTTTTGAAGTTTTTGTAGCCTTTGTGAAGAAAATTCAAGTGAAGATGGACTCAAAAGTTGCATGCATTAGATCAGATCATGGAACAGAATTTGACAATGCTAAGTTTAATGAATTCTGCAATGAAAATGGCATTGCCCATAACTTCTCAGCCCCAAGAACTCCACAGCAAAATGGAGTTGGAGAAAAGAAGAACAGAACTCTTGAAGAAATGGCTAGAACAATGCTGATCGATAGTGGGATTGCTAAGAACTTCTGGGCTGAAGTTGTCAACACTGCCCGCTACTTGGTGAACATGTGCATGATCAGGTCTCTTTTGAACAAAACTCCCTATGAGTTGCTGAATAGACGGAAGCCCAAGCTGACTCACTTAAGAACATTTGGGTGCTTATGTTATGTTCTCAACAATGGAAAGGATCAGCTTGGAAAATTTGATTCCAAGAATGATGAAGGAATCTTTCTGGGATATTCTTCTCAAAGTAAAGCCTACAAGGTATACATCAAGCGGACTCAGTATGTTGAGGAGAGTATCCACGTAATCTTTGACGAGTCCTACCATTCCTGTGAGAAAAGCAACAAGGATGATCAAGATGGAGAGCCTCTGATGGTTCCAGGAGAAGTCATTGATATGGCAAATGGAAAGGCAGATATGATGAGTCAAGTGAAGACAACACAGCCTCTTCCTCATCAGCTGGAGAGGAACCAGGTACTACAATTACAACTATTGAAGCTCAAGAAAGAGTGGTTGATGTAGTTCAAAGTACTCCACAGGTAGCTGAAAGAAGAATACAAGGAAACCAATCAAGATTACCCGACACCTCTATAAATGAAGCTCAAGTGCCCAACTGGAAACACAAAAGCTCTCATCTTCTTGACAATATAATTACCCCTCTGGATACAGGAGTCCAAACCAGATCAAAAGCCAGAAATTCACTTGCCTTCTCAGCCTCTCTTTCCCAAATAGAGCCCAAAAACATTAAGGAAGCCTTAAAAGAAGCAGACTGGATCACAACTATGCAAGATGAGCTGCATCAATTCGAAAGGAACAAAGTGTGGCACATGGTACCTAGACCCTTAGATCGTACCATCATAGGGACCAGGTGGGTATTCAGGAACAAGCTTGATGAACATGGGAATACTACAAGGAACAAGGCAACGTTAGTTGTCCAAGGTTACAATCAGGAGGAAGGAATTGATTATGATGAGACTTTTGCTCCAATTGCTCGTATGGAAGCTATCAGAATCCTCATTGCCTTTGCATCACATATGGAATTCACTTTGTTCCAAATGGATGTCAAAAGCGCATTTCTGAATGGCTTCCTGAAGGAAGAAGTGTATGTAAAGCAACCTCCAGGTTTTGAATGTCATGAACACCCTGAATGTGTGTTCAAATTGGACAAGGCGTTGTATGGGTTGAAGTAGGCTCCTCGAGCTTAGTATGAAAGGTTGTCTAAGTTTCTCTTAGAAAATGGTTTTACAAGAGGAAAAATTGACAATACTTTGTTCCTGAAGAAACGAGGGAGGAACCTACTCATTGTTCAGGTATATGTTGATGATATCATTTTTGGGGCAACAGCTGATTCACTATGTGAGGAATTTGCAAAACTCATGGAAAGTGAATTTGAGATGAACATGATGGGTGAGTTGAATTTTTCTTGGGTCTTCAAGTGAAGCAGTTCACGAAGGGCACATTCATCAGTCAGCAGAAATATATCAAGGAGCTTCCAAAAATATTTGATATGGAAGCATCAAAAGTGATTGACACTCCCATTGCTACTGCCACTCGACTGGACATGGATGAATCTAGCTCTCCTGTAAATCAAACAATTTATAGAGGCATTATTGGGTCTCTTCTCTATCTCATTGCCAGCAGGCCAGATATTGTCTTCAGTGTGGGACTATGTGCAAGATTTCAGTCAAACCCAAGGAATCTCATCTAAAGGCTACCAAAAGGATTCTGAGATATCTTAAGGGAACACAGGTCCTGGTTCTATACTACCCTTCAGGTGACAATTTTAATCTTATTGGGTATGTAGATGCTGACTATGCAGGTTATCTTGTGGACAGGAAAAGCACATCTGGAATGGCTCACTTCCTAGGATCATATCTAATTTCATGGGGCACAAGGAAGCAAAATTCAACAACTCTTTCAACAGCTGAAGCAGAATACATTGCTGCAGCCTCCTGTTGTGCTAAGCTTTTATGGATCAAACAACAATTGGATGATTTTGGAGTGTACACTGACTGTGTGCCTCTTTTGTGTGATAACGCAGGTGCACTCAACATGGCCAAAAATTCAGTCCAACATAAAAGAACCAAGCACATTGATGTGAGACATCATTTTCTCAGAGGCAATGTGGAGAAGGGGTTTATCGATATGAAGTTCACTACAATAAAAGGTACTTTTAGCGGTGATTATTTAGTGGCAATAAAACAATTGCTAGTAATTTATTCCTTATTCTAAATTATTAGCGGCTAATGTGAATTAGGCGGCGAAGCTACGTATTTAGAGGCAATTAAAACAATTGGCCAGCAAAAGAGTGAAACTTTGCTTTTTAACCTTCTCTCCGAATGCAAACTCTATATTTTCTCATTTTTCTCCCTTTTCTCTTACTTCTCCCACCTTTGATTTTTCTTTCTATTGTTTCTCTTTTTTTCTTTTCCTATCTAAATCATCTTAGATTTCCCCAGGCCTTTGGCAATCAATGAATGGTGAAAATAATAGCAGCAACCAATATGGAAGAATAAGATGAACACAGCATTACAACATTGACAATGCCCGATTAATCAGTTATAGATTGAAACCCTCTACCTTAATACTATCGTCGATATCTCCATCACTGTCAGTTACCTCTCTAATACTTTCGCAAATTTTTCTTCTTTTATTTATCATTTGCTATCTACATCCTTATATAGATAGATTATTTTATGTATTCCTCTTTTGTAGGAATTAGCTATTCTCAATTGTATTTTTGTTGTTAGCTTGGAATTTATCTGATATTTATTTTGTAATAATACGAACTGGGTTTAATTATACTTCATTTGCCATTTATTATATTGCTTGTGATGGAATTTGATTCTAAATTAATTGAGTACTCTATATTACTTTCGTTGTTGCTTCAAGAGGATAAATTTAAGAAGCCTATTAAGTGTTTGATAAAATGTCACACATAGATATGTTTGCTTGGATGATAATAATTTAATGTGTATGGTGTTTTACTAGCAATTTTATAAATCTTTGAATGGCCGGACATTGTTTATTTATTTTTTCACTCATTCGTAGGTTAAGAAGTTTTAATTTATGTTACCCTAAGTTAGATTAGTAACACTTGAGAAGTTTAAAGACAAAAGATCACAAAGAGGAGAAATAGAGCATAAGAAGATGAAACAATATACTAAATGGGGAGAAATTTCTCTGTTTGCGTCTGTTATTTCTTTACCACAATCTATATAAAAGCCGATGCAACAGTAGACTAAATGAGATCACACAAAGACTTATGCTGACAACAGAAAGGTAAAAACTTTCTAACATAAAAAAACCATATCTTGAATTATATATTGTTTTAACTTAGTAAACAATTGAATAGCTGAGTTATTGGTGTTATTTCATTATTTGTAGCCGTAGGATTGAAATTTTGAAGATATAGTGTGAGAGTCCAAGCATGGACTAGTTATTGTACCGTGGGTGAGGATTTGAACGGAAAGTGCTTCCAGTTAAAATACCTTCTTAGCTTGAGTACAAATGGGGAAACTTTCTAGTTAGTGAACATTTTTCTTATTGTATCTTTTTTAAGTAGAGGGAAAGGCAAGAAGTTAGAACGTTCTGGTCTTAGTACACACCGGTAATTTTATATCTTTATTATCTGTTCTTCCATACCATATATAAATAATTGTTAGGATATCTCTACATATAAATAAATAATTGGATGATCAGCCATTTTTATTATTAATATTTTGTTTGTGCTAGGTTGTTTACAGTTGTGGATAGCATAATTTTGCTTGTTACAAGGCCACATTGAGAATGTATAACATCTAAAGCAACAATAGAGTACAACAATACAACAAACAAAGTAATCGTTATTGTAGAGGCTTACAGGACTTTCAGGGATAGAGGTCCTTATCCTGCAGATCATGTTGTTAGGGTTCTTCATTGAGAGTTTTTTCATGGTCAATGACAGCTCATCAACAACTACCTTTTTAGCTGTTGTGAGTGTTCTTTATATATCATAATTTTGATCTCAATTTGTCCATAATCTACTTAAAGTAGACTTAGTGTACATTGTTTTTTGCAACAGGATATGGATGGGAGTGTTCCCTTCTTCTGATGTATGCTCCTTTCTGATAAATAATGTGATTTTGGCTTAGCTTGCATTTAAATACTGTAATGTAGCTAAACCTTTTATAGGAAAAAATGAAGCTAACAAGAAAATTGTTAAAATGGATCAAGGTAAGATGGCAAGACTGATCGTATCCAGGTTGGTATATTATTTCACTAATCGATTTGATTGATTTAAGTTAAACTTTTTTGAATCAGTAGTTTCTCTTTTATAGCACTGTTCTAATCACGTTAGGTGAACCTTGAGGAGCTAGTGATTTAAATGAATGTTGCAAACTTTATGAGCTACGAGCTAAATTAACTACAATGCTTGAACTTTTATTTGGTAACTGCACACGTCTTATTGTATTAGTCCTTTCTGCGATGATTTATGCTTTTGTTGAGTTGTCTCATCTGTTTCTATCTTTTTATCATAAAATCAGTAAAATCTAATAAAGAAGATTGTTTCTAAAATATAACTCCAATCCTTTGTTATTTTTTTGTGCTGAATTGGTACTAAATTATTGTTCCTGAGTGTTTACCCTCGAATCCGGATAACAATTGAATTTATATGGGGTTTTAAGGATCCGTGAACTAAAAGATACAAAAGGTTTTTAGGTTGAGGAAAAATAAAGATGAAGACTCAACAATTGCTGTTAAAGTAAATAATTGCAGAATATAATATTGCTTAGAACAATTGTGCTTGATGCCTACAAGAATTTAGAGAGATCTCCTTTTATACATTCTGATTAAGGGTAAAAATAAGGTAGGTAAATTGATTACATCGTGGATCCCTGTAATTACGCCTTAATGGCCTGAAGTGGTTGAGAAAATCACGTTTGGGCGAGATATCCGGCGACGCTTGGTTATCCGTTACGAGTCCGGCTTCCGACCTTGTGTGTTTCTCCATCCGGTGGTGACTCATATCGAGCTCTGTAACGGTCTCGAAATGACTCGACCTCGGTTGTAGACGTGGCCGTCGTTCTACCTTGCATCCAGGTCGGGTTCGATGGCCCCGACTCGCTCCGGACCGGACCCAACCCGGTCGGGCTCAAGCAAAAAAGGGTATCACCCAATACACTGAGAAGAATCTTGCAACTGTTTCTCGGAAAAAATTGTGGTTCTAGCCAAGATTTTTTTATTCTTAAATGCGTCATTTGAGCTTCACTTTTCTTTGAAGAGGGTCAGTTTTCAACAGTTTTTATTGATTACCTTGTATTATTCGAAAATCAAATAAAAATTGCTTGTCTCAATGTGTGTTCTTATTAACTTAATAGGAACTAGCAGCAATAAATGTGACCCTCAATGAACAAAGAGCTAGGAGTGAGAACTTGAAAAGCATCAAGGTTCATTTTTGCCTTCATAGTCTACATTTCAACTGTGGATAAGTTAATTCCTTTTCATCAGTAGATGCACTAAATTTTCTGCAATTTTTGTTATGCAGTTTGATTTGGATCTAAAATCCACAAATGACATGGATGCAGATTTAGTATCCAACTGATGCAACTTGCTGGTTCAACAAGAACCGTCCGTGCTGGTTTAAATTTTTTGGAATTAGCGTAGTATGAAATTAGGCTTGTCAGATTGAGAAACTACCGATATTGGATTCAAATGATGTATTTTTTTCTTTTATGTTGTTGACACAATTTTTTTACATTGTCGATTTAATGATACATATTGTGCTTTATAAAATGAATTTTAGAAACATTCTTATGTTATTATTTATGGGAGAATATTGTTATCACTACCAAAAAATGACATTGGAATCATTTTAAATGACAAATAGGCATGATATTTTCAGGTTCTACCATTTGCCATTACGTAAATTGTTTTATCGGTAATAAGAAGGGTAAGGATAATGGCCACGAAAAGGTTCTCTTTTTACCGGCAATAAATGAATATTTGCTGGCCATAGCAAGTGCTACTAAAATCATTTAAAAGGCTAATTTAGGGGTAGTGTTAGTGGCTATTATAATTGCTGGTAAACAAATGCCGCTAAAAGATCAAATTTTTAGTGGCAATTATTGGGAACTTTACCAGCATTCACTATAATTGCCGCTAAAGGTTTAGTGACGCTGGATACAACGACAAATAATTAATTGCCGGTAAAGGTTCTTGTGGCAATTTTTATTGCCGCTAAAATAAAATTTTATTGCCGCAAAAAGCCTTTTTTTGTTGTAGTGGTTTTGCACCACAGAAGATCAAATTGCAGATATATTCACCAAAGCACTAAGCAGAGAACACTTTGAGAGAAACAGGCTGGCACTGGGGCTAATAAATCCTAATTGAGAACCTGATTCCTACTATATGGCTATGAAAATCACATACAAGTAAAATTAGCTAAAGTGTTTTCCGGCCAAGTCTAACTCACTTCTATACCGTTACAGGTAGACACACATGATGATTATAGAAGTTGCTGAGGCAATGCATAAGCGTTAATAGAGGGTTGAGAATTTTTGAAAGATAAGTCCAGAACCTGGTTCTTGTACCACATGTTAGTAGTCTTGTGTTTTTCTCATGCATATCTCAAAAGAAACAAAAAAAATATTTGATTGCCACGTCATCAACCTTTTAATACACTGTATGCCATGTCTTTTCATTCATATCCTTTCACTTCCCTCTGAAACGTTGCACCTCCCCACAAAACTACCGCCGTTTCAGAACCGGTTTCTCTCTCCCTCATAATTGACTCTTCCCTTATTAAAACCCTCTCATCTCCAAAACCTTGAACGATCATCTTTCTCTCTCTCTTTCTTTCTCAACCCTTTCAGAACTTTCAAACTCATTCTCTACCATGGCTGAAGATCAAACAATCCTTCCCACCATTGAAGAGAAAACCCTAAAGAAAACCATAGACTCCTCCGTTCCTAGTGAAACACCTCTCACCATTCCCTCTTCCACCACTGCTGAAAGTGATACTCCTAAACCTGATTCTCCTTCACCATCTATCACTCTCATCACTCCCTCAAACAACATTCTCCCTCCAAGTGTTGATAACTCTGAAATCCCCAAAATTGATAGCTTTTCTGTCACCTGAGATTCTCAAGGAACAAAGCAATGATGGAGAAAAGAATGATACTCCACAGGTAGAAAAGGGTTCTGAGGAAGGTGTTGATCAGTCTACATGTACAGTAATCTCGGATTTTGTTGCACCCATGGAATCTCAGAAGAGGGAGGCCATAGAAAACATGTTGGCCATATCTGCTGAAGGAATAGTGTATGAGGTCACCTCTACTATGCCTGAGTCTCAGGGGGAAGAGACTCAGTCGTTGGTGGGAGAAGGAACGATGGTGCTCTTTAAACAACCTGCACCAGAAGAAACTACTAGGACCCCTCTTGAAAGACCTGACCACTCTCCTAAGGAAACAGGTCAGGAATCTTTTTCCCAGGTCAGTTTCGACCCTGCTCCTTCTCCTCACTTTGGTGTTGAGCCTCTGGAGGTAGTAACTCTTGCTATGAGGTCCAGTGATGAATATAATGTTACTCTAGATGTGTTCATTGCTAGAAGGAGGCCAGTAGTCACTCCTGAGCCCTCTTCTAAGCGACTTACTACGAGGTTGCAAAAAAAAGGAGGCTCTTGAGTTTGCCCTGCAGAATAGTAAAAGGAGTAGCAAGAAGAAGAAAAAACGGCTAGTAAAGGATGGAGAGATTGTTTGTTACAAGAACATTCCTGTAGTGGAAGTGGATGAGGAAGCTGAAGAGGAACCAAGTTCCTTAGTCAAGAGACCTCAGAACAAGAAACCATCTATTGCAAGTGCTTCAGAGGAGGCTATTGAGACGGCCAGTAAAAAGTTAGTGAAAAGTGTTGACAAGTTGAAACAAGTTGTGGCTGAAGAGTCAATGTCTGATGATGATGTACAAGTGAAATCAAATGGAAAGGGTAATGTGAAGGAACCCGGTTCTGTGAAGAAAGTGAAACGTGAAAGTGTGTTTGGTAAAGAAAGGTTGAGGTACCAGAAATTTCTGTGGGGTTGCACATTTGACCTTGAAATATCTGAGATGGCTGGTACGAGGCAAATACTTGAAATGGTCGAATTTCAAAAGTGGGGACATCTGTTCAAAGTGGATGTGCCCAAGGTCTATGAGGATGAGGTCCAAAGTTTCTATGCTGACCTCTTCACTGTTGAATCCGACCATATCTGTGCTTTAGTTATTGGTGTAGACATTGTTATGGATTCTGCTCTGTTGGGTGACATTCTTAAGGTTCCTGCTGATGGTGTATCTTCTGTTAGGGATGTCTGTGGCACAAACTTTAGGCATGCAATTGTCAAGGAAGTAGCAGTCCAGCGAGGGGAACAGGTGCATAAGAAAGCCTTGCTTCCTGTGTATCAGATCCTGTTTGAGTTGGTGAACAAAGTCCTGCTACCTCGTGCTGAGAGAAGGTCTATCACATCCAAGTCTGATCTGTATTTGATGGAAGCACTGGATGGGTTTTGATCTGTTAATCTGTTAGCCATAATTATTGAGCACATGCAAAAGGTGACAGCTTTCAAAGATGGAAATCATGGTCTCCCCTATGGATTTCTTCTCACGTATGTTTTCAAGTTCTTTAATATGTCTTTGGGACAGCCAAAAGTGGGGACCAAGAAGCAGACCTTCTCGAAAACTACTCTAGAGGAATGTGAATGTGTTGAAAAATGTGGAGGGGTAGGAAGCACTTCGACGATCTCACAGCTTATCAATTCCCAGAACAGTGCTAATGAGGAGATTAGGAAGTTAAACTCAAGGAATGCCATTCTAGAGACTCAGCTAAGTCAGGCTCAAGAGGCACCAGGGTCCTCCAGTTCATCATGTGCAGAGGTTGCTTCTCTGACCAAAGAAAATGCTGATCTCAGGCAACATGTTGAGAACCTGAAGGAGAAACTGCGCGCAGAGCAAATGTCCGCAAATGCTAGGATTGATCTCATTCTCAACACTCTTGCTGCTGCTTCTAACCCCTCTTCCTCTAGTGTCCCCTAGGCTAATCCACCAGTGACCAGTGCCCAGTTTCCAGTTTATCTTCTCCATTCTGATGACTTCGTCGTAGTTGTTTTTACTTTTTTTTTTTGTTATTTTGTGGTATGGATGGAATTCACATGAACTGCTTCTATTTTCAACAGTCCAAATTTGCCTTTGTTGTACAACAGAGGCTTATGTTTTTTAATATTAATGAAAACACTCCTCTTTTGTTGTTTATGCTTATGTTTCTCTGCTTCTCTTTTCTATCATGTGGTGTACACATAACTGACGTGAGTTAGCTAGGCTACACTTCTTTATGCTGCTTGCTTGCTTGTGTATTTTAATGATGCCAAAAGTGGGAAGAGTGGTTGAGCAAAATTGAAGGGACTGATTCATGAGGAAGCACAAATTCAGGGGGAACTTGTGATGTTCCTGTTACTCTATCTGGTTTCTGTTGTTCTAAATATGATTGCCAATTTTTAAGTTTGTTATCATCAAAAAGGGGGAAATTGATGGGTTTACAGTACCATAGCTTTATGTTTTGATGATCTAACAAATTTACTGTCAAAGAACCAGATAAGGAACCTGATACACTTGGTACACAACTCAAATCAACGGACTTAAGCTAATGTGAGTTGCTATGACTTCAGAAGAAAAAGAATCAACACAGGGACCTGATCCTCTTGAGTTCCCCTAACAGTAGTACAAAGTCAACTGTCTACAGCTGAAAAGTGAACTGCCTGCACTGTACACGCAAACAGTGCAGCACAGTACAACGGTCACTTCTCATTGACCAACCAAGTGATTACATCATTCAAGTGATGTCATCCAAGTTGTAATAACAAAGAGCATTACAACAAAACATCACTTGAACACTTGAGAATTCATTCAAACACTTCAACCGTCTATCCATCAAGCATTCAATTCTCAAGTGTATCAAGAACAAAGTACAACACTACTACGGATCGACCGGTTCCTACAGCAAGTATCTTGTATGTCCTTAGTTGAGTTGTAGCTTTGTAATTGTTCTTCATTGTAATTCCTACTTTGCTTATCTAGAAGCTTTAATTAGGAACCCCTTGTAAACCATAAACCTTTAGTGTTTTGTATCGTGACTAGAGTTAGTCATGAGTTAAAGTCTTTGTAATAGGTGTATTGCAAAGTGGCTTGTAATAGGTGTATTACAAGTTAGTGAGCGATTAAGAGTTATATTCCTAGATTGCATAGGTTGTAATCTAAAAGATTGCTCATAGTGAAGTTGAAATCCTGCAGTGTAGGTCGTGGTTTTTTATCCCCTTGAACAGGGATTTTTCCACGTAAAAGTTCCCTGTTCCATTTACTTACGGTTTCATTAGCTTTATCTGTGGAAACCTATATATGACCTGGTCTCTATATAGTTTGATGGACTCATAAATTCTATCATAAAAATAGTCGGCAGATATATAATGTATGTATAATTTATGAATAATATATGTATAAATTCATATAATCTGTGTATATCGGCTACAAAAGTAAACAATAAATCTGATCGGCTATTTGTGTAACAATATTTTTGGTCTTTTTAATTCTACTTTCAGCAAGAAGTTACAACAAAAGTTGGCTTTAGGGAAAGTGGAGGAGAAGGAGAGTGATAGAGAGCTAAACAATTGGTGCCATTAGGGAAAAGATCTCTTAATTTGCAAAAAAATTTAAAAAAATAAACTTTTTTGCAAGTCCAAATTGAGTTT